AGTACATTTCGTTGACACACTTTCACGAAGAACCTATTTTTGGGATACCGCAGTCCCATGTGGATCAGAAAATAGCCACAATGTAGTACAACTAAACCCTGACGAAGATAAATATTACCTTCTCACTCCATATCCCACATTAATGCAATCACTCAAGAAATTTTCACCAGAAAGCATTCGCGCTATTGCTCGAAACCCAAATATAGACTTACAATCCATAGGAATATATTCAAAATCAGATATTCAACATCACATTAGAACACAACAATTCCAAGAATTATTAACACAAATGGACACTATACAAAGACAATCAATAGACCAAAATTTACGCAAACTTGCAGAAACCGCAGGATTTGCCGATATCTACACGCAAGACTATAGCGGATATTTTAAAGATATTAAAGATTATATATATCTAAACGGTGAAAAATACCGTCCCCAAGATACATCACCAATTAACATTTTTAGCTTTGTTACACTTAAAAATGAAATTCTTGATTTTCTAGGATGGCCCTACTACATCTTAGAAAAATTGACTATTTTATACGCAATGTTTAACTTTATTGGATTTCTTTTCTCACTTTTAAAAGGAATTTACAACACATGTGCTATACACACACAAGTAAATAGACAAGCAAGCGTAGCACGCATACTCTTTGCAGGATTTTTTGGAATCTTTTCTACATCTATAAACAAAATTCTTTTAGACGCACAAATAAAAGAATACAATACAAAAATAGCAACACGACAAAACACATACGACGAAGAACATAACAATGTAGACACAACGCCAACGGCACCACAGTTACCACCCCTACCACATAACCATCCACTATCCCTAGTCCCACGAAATTTTCGAAATTTAGCAATCACACATAATCCAAATTTTCGACCAACCACATCACAAAGTCCCATCCAACATATAATGACACACCAGTCACAGGATGATAATACTTATGAACAAATTATTGAACAACCCCATACCACCGCTTTTCAGTCTCAAAATAATCATTTTTTTTAGCCCACGATGAGCCGACAACTTGGATCCCTACACCGATCAAATTCCCACCCAACCAACCTCACCTCTCCAATCCAAATAATACCACTTTTTGCTTTTCCGCCACCCGATTTCCCATCTAGTAATGTAACATCAGGCATGAATTCCGACACTAATTCACACATCTCAGTTTTATACTCCACCTCACAACTCAATAACCCGAATATTGAAACCCCCGATGAATTCGCCGATTCAGAACCATCCCCATCCAATAATTTTCATAACTCTTCAAAATTTTCTCAACCCCCTTCTCAACCTATATTATCAAATAACCCTGACCCAATCAATTCTACACCCTCTTATGCTTCCCAAGTTACCCCAACCTACTCCTCATTTCATTCTGACCAATCATCTAATTCTCCAGACACCCCCCGAATCTCCCCAGAGCTGGATAATTTTATAACCCTCCAACAACAACCCTACCACCTTCACACCCCAACCATAAACCAAATCTCTTCCACAATAGATTCATCCAACCCCCCTACCCCTACACCCTCTTCAAATTATACTGAATCATTAGCACCATCATCCACATCTACTGAATCTTCACTCAACACTAATAGAGCTTACCGCACTTTTAAAAGAAAGTTCCCCAACCATCCTTTCCCAGCAAAACCAGGAACAGCCCGTGAATACATCAACCATCCCAAGCACACTAACACCAAAGAATTTTTAGCTATTACCTTACCCTCATTCCCACAATACACCTTAAACACCCCTCACGACACTAGCGAAACACGCAGCTTTGTAGACGAATACGTTTTAATGCCCACTCTCTCTTGGACCTCATATTATTATTTTACTAATCCCCTTTGCTTACCTTTATCTAGCACTCACGTCGATATAGAGCGAAATAAGGACATGCTATATCGACTCACTACACCACTAACCGCTAGACAATTTACTTACGTTGGATATAAAAAATCACTAAAAACACACACTGCACCTAGAGCTAATGAATATACACTCGAATACTATGATCATAACATCATCAGAGCTAACCAAGATCAATTCTTAGACGACGATCGCTTCGCTAATCCACAAATCACCGAGAAATTTTTCATCACAACACCATATGTATTTACATTAAACATCTTCGATCGAAAGTTTGACCACATTATTTCAGAAGCACTAACAGACACACAAGCATACGAAAGTTTTAAAGAACGCTTCCAAATATTTTCACTAACCTTTTATTTCCTTGCACCACACGAAAGAGATTTACACTGCTCACACGATATTATGTTGCGCACTAAACAAACCCACACATATAGTTATTATCGCTTCATCCAAAATCACTTTGACCTACACACACCCTCTAGACAACCACACCATCGTTTTCAATTCATTAATTCCAAATACACTTCACCATTTTCCCTAAATTTCACATATTGCATTAAAGATACTAACCTTCATGGTATTCTTCGCAATTATGATCCCATAACCCAAATGTACATCTTCTGTCCCATCACCAAGACCTTCAACGCCGAAGAATCCCGACCCTTCCTTATCCCGCACGAGTTTGTACAACCTATAGAAATCCCAATTTTAGAATTCATCCACAACACTAAATTCAATCACAAATTATATAATCTAATCCAAAACACACCTTACGAGTTTGCAGTTGGCACTGAAGAACTAACCACCATTAAGGCACTTCAATTGCTTTGGCCACTGCTTCAGACTAAAAATATCATCCGCATCTTAGCTAAACTACTAACAACTTCCGATCTCAACCACGACATCTTCCCCCACGGTTTTTTCCCCGACAACTAACAGGTAAGTATGAATTAAATGTATATTACTAACTAATTACAATATTAGAAACTCACCATTCTTTATCCATGTTTTCTTTACATTTTTAGCCTTCATCCGACAATCATCTAAAAAATTCACAAAAGAAAAAAAAAAAATCGAAAACTTCTTCAAACAATTTCAAAATTCTATTAATCTTTTACACTCATAAATTTAATCAATTTAATACCAATGCAGTAAATTCATTTATAAATTTCTCCCCCAAGCAGTAAATCTAATAATGATGAAAATTTGTAACTTAATTTTTCCCAATAAAAAGCAGTAAAATTCAAAATTCTATGTAGTAAATTGATAAAACGCAAATGCAGAACTAACCTTTTGATATTCTCATTTATTCGCACAGAAATTCTATCCACACTCGCACAGCTCGCCCACGAAGAATTGTTTAAAATAATGAATTTCAGTTTCAAGTTTTAACACTCAACAACTCTAACACAAGATAACACGTTTTAAACTTTCCTTTAACCCGGTTGGAAAGGAATTATATACTAAACAAAACTAACCAACGCAGCTTACTAAATACCACAAATCATAGAATAACAGCATGACTAAGAAAAGGAAACCAACGGTACCCAAACCGGATTAACCCAGTTTAAAACTGGATAAATTATTCTTTTGAAGACTATTAAAAAGTCTCAGAAAGAAATAATAAAACACAAAAAAGTCGAAAGACGAACCCATACCACAAACAATTTGATTTTTGAAAAAAGGACACAACCAACAAGACATAAGAAAAAACCACAACAACTCAACATAAAACGTTGTCACATAACAGGACCCCTCACAAAAACCGCATGAAATCATACTCCCACTCCTGGCCTAACCCACCAGGAAGGACGTCCTGAGCATGCTCTATAGCCGGCCTAACCCACCGCGCTACATCCACGCTTTGTGACCACACTTCTATTTTTAATAAGAGCTACTCAAGGGTGAGTAACTCTTCAAAATAACCGAACTAAAACAAAAAGCTTTTGTGAAAACAACTAACTAAAATCATAATTAAAAAATATTAAACTAATAAAAGTTTTATAAAATACATTATGCAATACATAGATCAGAATACAACACCAAGGACGAACATCTAAAGACAAAACGACCCCACTACACTCGAGAGAGAATGGCCAACTACAATCGATATGCCACTCACAATCACAACTCAAAGGATTTAGAGTACGACTTGACTTCGCAGAAAAGGACTTCATTGAACTAGACCAATGACCACCTCGATGTTCAAGTATACGTACAGATCCGAGTAACCAGGCATCCCCTCCACGCACAATCTCCACGCCATTCCCAAACTAGATCAGACACAAAAGAAGTTCTCCACGAAGAACAGAAAAACCTGACATAGCCAACCATTCTGAAATCAGATTTGAGTTTGTTGCAGAGACTTAGTCGTTGTCACTAGAAGACACAACGTCTTATGTCCCTAACTCCAGCTTCCTGGAACTTCTCTAACAAAGAGGAAACGGAAGAAAATTATGATGTTCGCCAAATACCAACGTCCATCATCCATCCTTCGAATTGCAGAAGAACTATTCTAAAAAACTCTGTAAAACCCGGATGGGTGGAACCTGATCTAAACTACATTTTATGATTGGATAAATTAGATATTTTACCAATGTAAAGTATTTAATATTAACCAATCATGATCCATATAACTAACAACCCACTTATTTGTAAGTGCTGAAATTACTTGTAATTTCAGCACCAGAGAGATTTGAATTTAACTTAGAAATTAGTTGAACTCTCCCGAGCACTTCAGCAGCCGCAATAAACCAGTATACCCTAGATCTATTGAGCCTAGCAGAGACTAGTTAAACAACCTGAGACTAGATAGTATAAGAGTAAGATTAGGATCGGTATTAGACTAAGAAGTTGCACGAATCTATCCGGCCGAAAATAAGATAGCGTGACGAGCAGACGGTGTACCCTATCCGAAATTACTCTATGAGTTATACCCATCGGTCCTAACTCAATATTTTCTTAATTTGTATTTTGTAAAAGACGAAGAAACTGCAGAGGAAAAAAAGGAAGAATTAATATCTGGTTGTTACATTCATTATTTCATATCAAGCAATAAAATAAAACAATTATGTTAGCAATTCAGAAAGGATAGCGAACAAACCCGGAGTTGCCGTCTGCTGCGCTAAAAATCCAGACACTCGAACAAATTAAAATTCTGTCAATGTGAGAAAGGCAAGGACAAACTTTCAGTACTTAAAAAATTGTTTAGAAACGTGCATTTTGAGAACGCGTGCTAGTTGAGAACTACAATTTAAAGAAGAGTTATACAAAACTGTTGGTTGTTGAATTGTCTAAATTTGACTTATTTAGAATTTAGATGAAATTAATGAAAAAGTGTTCATTTGCCTCACAACTTCAAGAAAACTTGCAAGTCGCAGCCACCCTGGTTGGTTTCAAATGCAAAACTTGATGTTCTTCACTTAACGTTTTATTTCTCTTATAACTGTACAGCGTCCCTAGAGCCTTCATGACACCATTAGAATTGAATGGAGGTAAATTGGACTTTGGGCACCCAGCTGAGCTCCTTTTGCACTAACCAGGGAGCAAGTCAGAGTCGGAGACGATTTGAAAATCCGATCAATATCATCCAGCCTCAATATTGAAAAAAAAACAATTTGAGAGCAAAATTTTTTGAATAATTAAAAAAATCTTTAATTGAATATAACTGAAGCATCCATACACGAGAATTGCAAAATTTCCGGCAAAAAAACTATCAAATTACACATCTTATCTTCACTTTCCTATTAAAAGTGTTTGTGCTGTGAGAGAAAAAGTAAAAAGATAACTTTTGTTGCATAGTATTAACTCTTGATTAGAATGTGATCTAGAAACTCGGAATACGTCGTGGTGCACAGTGATTGATTTTCAAGTAAGCAATGATAAACAGTGGATGAAGAAAAAGCTGTCAAAACGTGTTCCGGTTATAGAAGTAAAAGATGGTTGAGCAAGAGGTTGCACAGTCAAAAGTTATTACTTGTTTAAGAAAAAAGCTAACACTGCGAAGCTTAACATTTATATCAGTTTCGTCGTTTCAAAAACTTTCAATAACAATGATTATAGAGGAACCTCAATTGAAAACGAAAATGGATCAATTTAATTTTAAAAACCTAATTCCAAACACGGAATGGCAATTAACTGCAAAATACACGTAGAAGTCATGTAACTCCTTTTTTCACCCCTTTCTGCCTTATGGAAAGTTGGACGATATTTAAAAAACCATATGGCCCATAGCACTCCTAGTGTCCATAAGCACATACATGGACGCTTTTTCATCCTAGAAGGATTTCAGTCACAGACAGACACAGGGCCTTCTTTTTTTTTTATTGTTCCGACCATTGAAAATGGGGAGGAATTTTGTATTTGGGTGTTTGTTTTTTTTTCATTTTGTTTTCCACAAATAATCAGTAACCACAAATAAACATCGGACTGTGTTGAGTGATATATCATATTAAAGCACTTACAGTCGTGATTTGAACCACATTTAAAAATTATGAAAAAGTTTTTCCCTCGTCGAGAAAAATCGGTTCGAAAATTTTGATTTTTCGTCTTATTTCGAGCGAATAAAGCAAGCGAGCAGTCTTATTATGGCTTAAAAGTTTACAATAGCTTAATTTAAAGCATAAAAACCTAGTTTACTTGAGTAACGTTATTTTACTTTTTGGTACTTCAACGCCTTTTTGGAATATTCAAAATTCAAAAAACTGCAAAATACTTGAATTTTTCCAGTGAGTTTTCTACAAAAACTGTTTTTCTTTTTGCTTATTTTAGTATGGTTGTCGAATATACCTAATCGCCAATTTTTGGACCCCTTGCGCAGTAACCGCCTATCCTAGTTTTTTCTCTCAATTATAGATTTGTTTCGTTATGACAAAATTACGCGAATCGCTATCTCAAACCATAATAAAAAGGTTATCTCAAACCATAATTAAAAGGTTCGATGCCAGAAAAATTATCTGTTTGTTTTGAAATTTGCTCAACAATCACTCGCCGTACCCATATATGATAAAAAATATAACTTACCTAAAGAAATAGCCCATCTCCGAGTTTCCATATCTGGAAGGGCATCCCGGTCAGTGATAGTGAGTTCCAGTATCTGGAGTCCAGGCTCTGGGTTCTGTGGTACGAAGCCCTGGATCGGCTCAATTCGATCGATGATCTCCGGGGCGGTGTCGTCCTTGTCAAGGACGACGATGCTGACAGTCACTTCGTATACTAACCCAAAATTGTCAAAGTTAATCATTTCACATCAGGGCTAAGAACTCAAGGCAAAGACTTTTACAAACAGCAACTTGCTAGTGGTGCATGGTTTCTTAAACTACAGATAACTTTTTTTTCTGTATCAAAAATTAAAGAAAGGCCAAAAACTTTTGGCGAAGGCGTATCACAAAGCCAAAGGTTCGAGATTTGTAATGAATGCAAGGAAACAGAAGAAAAAGACTGCCTTGTTTTTTTTGAAAAAAGTTCGAATTTCAAATTTTAAACCGATGGCTAATTCCTTGCTTATCGCAAGGAAAGAAAAAATGCCCGTAAAGTTTTTGAATGTCAATTTATTATTGGTGCTTTTTTGACAAAACTAGCCCAATTTAAGAAAACTGAAAGCTGGAAGTTACAGACTCTTGTAGTGAGGTAGTGAGTTCCAGTCGTTTATGACTGCTTAAGTGAAGAAGCTACTTTGTGAACCATTTCATGACTTTCTTGTTATCAATTTGCACGGATTACAAGGAACATTTCTTTCAGTTATTGTTAACTTTCCTTCAGTTGCTGTTACATCGTAGACACAGTTCAAGATTTTGTACACCTCTATCATGCGTCCACTTTTTCTGCTGTACTACAGTGTAGGAATCTTCAAAATCTTTCATAGTGAACTATTTTGCATAAGCTCAGGATTAATCGGGTTGCCCTTTGCTGAACATCTTTAATCGCTATTTTGTCTTTTTTCAGCAGTAATCCAACGTTTGATTGGCGTATTCAAGATGCGGTCCAACCACGGTTTTGTAGAGGGTCACCAGGATTTTCTCTGTTAACTTCCAATTTCTTTTTTTTCCAGAATTCCAACCGTACTATTAGCATGTTTTATTTTTTCAGCAACATGTTCTCGAAAAAGAAAAATTGATTCAATGATGACCCCAGGTCTTTCTCGTTTTCTACATTGCTCAAGGTGGTTTTGTTTTTCATTGTATAATTTCTTTCTGTCGTCTTCGTTCTTCCTGATAATGGTAGTTTGTGGCATTTCGATAGATTAAATTTCTTTTAACTTCTTTCGTACCACCGGTTTGTAATTGTTAACATCATCAGCATCAAGAAAAACATTTTAGGTGGCTCCGTCTGTCATGGAGTTGATGTAGGTTACAAACAGTAATGGTCCTAGTACCGACCCTTGAAGGACTCCGCTGATGACAAGAACGCAGTCTGAGTGACTTTTCTTCACTACTACTCGCTGTTTCCTGTTGAACGAGAAAGCAGTTATCCAGTCCAGAGTTCTGCCTCTGATTCCATATCTGGAGATAATGTTAAGTAATCTTCTATGAGCGACACTAACAAAAGCTTTTTGGAAGTCAATATAAATAACATCCACTTCAGCGCCTTTGTCTAACTCTGCCATCCAGCGCTCTTATTAATTGAAGTGTTGTCAATCGGCCCGGCAAAAACCAAATTTTTGGTTTGATATCGTTTTGTTCAGACTAAGGTAACAGAACATGTACCGCCTTATGATTTTTTCCAAGACTTTGCAGCATATTGATGTTCGGCTGACTGGTCTTAAACTATTTGGATTGTTCTCTGATTCCTTCTTACCGTTGTGACAGTTGCATATCTCGAACCCTCACTAGTTTCAGCACGAACTAGTTCTACCTTGATTTTTGAAATATTAAACTTTAGGTTTTGGCTATTTCATTTCGAGTTTCGAAGAATCCGTGGGTGCAGATTATTTGGTTCCATTGATTTTGTTACGTCTAGTTCAGAAAGTGTTTTCATAGGTAGCTCTTTAAAGTGGAGCAAGTCATCTGATATTTGTTTTTCCTGATTTTCTACAACGTCCCAGTCTACAACGTCCCAGTCTACAACGTCCCAGTTTCTGTACTAAAGACTGAGTTGGAAAAGTTTGATAAGACCTCAGCTTAACAGTGTTTGTACATACATCATTTCTTAGGTTGAGGGCAGGTAAAGTCTGTGTTGACTTCAGTTTCTTATTAACATAAATTCAGAACTTAACTTATTTTAAGGGGGAAGCGTGCGCTGAAAAAATGCTATTTTTCGGTCAAAACTTTCAAAAAAGGGCTTATAAACGCGGTTCAAGCAATTTTAACAAAATAGGGTCTTTATTTGATTTAGGAGAGCTCAGAGAAGAGAATCAGTCGACAAAATTTTCGAAACTTCTTTGAAAATCCAACCCCCCCCCCCATCCTAGATCCGCTCCTGATTTTTCCTGAAAGAAAGTCATCAAGACCTATATAAGAGTCTACACTATGCTCCTTTTTCTAACTCAATTAAAAAAAAACGTTAAGAAAGTATATGAAGAGAGAGATTATGTTTTTTCGGCAAGTTGAGGAAACGCAACCCCTTAAGTACGCTCGCACGCCCCTATCTTGTTAGGATGAAAATTTGGTCCGTAGGCGGGCAAAGAAATTTCAACCATACCAAATCAACTCTTAGCCTTTTTGTAGGGTTATAGGGTCTAGGACAATCGGAAAAATAAAGCGGCTCAAAGATCACTCACAATTTGTCGTATTGACTCTCATGTTGAATACAATTTCATGCTGTACCATTTCTTCCCTATCCACTCTTTTTCCTGGGATAATTCGCATGAAACCAGTGTCGACATTCAGTTCAAAAACTTCGTCGTATACGAGCACGTTGTAGGAGAAAGATGTTCCTGTGATCGGCGGTTCCAGTGAATCAGGAACATTAATCGGATCAAAAGTTTCTTCCTCGGGAACGTTTAGAGTTAGAGCTCGCTTCTCAATTCCAGTCGCCGATCGGCGAGACCTACAAAAATTGTATTTTACAGGGAAAATAATCGCAAAAACAAAAAACGGGATGGGAACGGTTGCAAGCTTTTCATCTCTGCGCACTCGAAATAAAAACATGTATTTTTTCACATGTAAAATGATAACCATGTTAACTAACATGTAATAAAAAAGAAGAAATTATATGCTTTGTTTCACATGCGCAAAAACACATTTTTTGATACATGTTTTCTCATGTGACACACCCGAACACTCGAAGACTGCAAATATACACTCGAGGGTTGCCTACCATACAAGAAAAATGCAAAAAATGCAAAAACTTAGAATAACAAAAAATAACTTAGTATAACAAACAAAAGCGTAGAACTAACAAGCGTAACTAACTTTACATACCAACAATTTGAAACAATAATGACAATAATGACGTTAAAACGATAATGAGGATTTTCAGGTTCGTTAAATTTCTAGTGACATGGCATTCAAACTGATGTAAGAGACTGAAAACTCAAGAGAAACTATGGCTAATTTTTCGCACAATTCAGCCATTAACGGTTTTAATGGGGGAGGGGCATTGACGCCTCCTCCTTCAGGGATTCGACCCCCTGTTGACCCAAAAGGTCCCCCTTTGTACAGTTTTCAGATATGCACTTTCGGCTCACTGACCCTAAAAATTTTCTAAAGGCGCTTTTGGCGCCAATATTTTTCAATTCTGAGGGAGAGCTTTCACAAGTTGCTCAATTTCTGATGATGGTGTTCAAACTGATTGTTTTCTGGTAACAATTTAAATTCCGTTTTTTTAAAAATCCATGAATATCTTAATTATAGCCTGTTTTTCCTCGCCGCGAGTATCATGCTTACAACGCGAAGTGGAACAACAACTCAACTTTGGTTTCAACATAATTTAACATAACTGTGAGCAAAAAAAAACGTTTTCTTATGTTTATTCTCAAATTTGAAACACTTCGGATGTTCTTACACAGATGCGTCGAACATGTCAAGTAAGGTTTTTAATGTGATCTTTCATGTTCATTTTTTGATTGTATGTTGACCGCTGGTGCTGGAGTGCATTTTAATGCATAGAGAGAGACGGAAAATTAAAAAAAAACTGAACACAAATAAAATCGCGTTTTCCTATTATGAATAAAACCTTCAAAAAGCTCATAAATTAGTCCAGAGGATGGCCAAATTGGCAATTTTCAAACTCTCAGCACTTTACAAAAAATGATCTGAGGTAAACTATCTTTTTACATTTGATGTCAGGTAGTCGATATCTTCAATGGGGTATTTTTTGCTAAAACATTTGTTGTGAAAACAATTATTTCGACCGCCGAAAATTGACTGAATAAAAAAATCAGACCAAGCATAAATACTCCGTTTTCTTTGAAATCCGAAAAAAAATAGCCGGTTGTTGTACAAATAGTTCAAAATTATCTGACAACAATGATTTAGGAATAAATTTTACAATTGTTTTTTTTCGGACCAAGTTAACATCCTCCCCTTTAAATCCGTTTAGGGGGGAGGATGTTAACTTGGTTCTGAGTTCGGATTTTCAGCCAATCAGAATAGAGCATTTTACATGCAGCGCTAAATAGATTTAAATTAAAATGAACGCTGGGGTGGAGGATTTCAACTTTGTCTATTTGGGGGAGGATGTTAACTTGATCCGTTTTTTCCCCAAGTTTTCCAGTGGTTTTTTGTTTTTGAAGTAGAAATTGCCTTAGTTAGAAAACAACAAGAAAAAGAAACAAAACAGCTAAAATGAGACAAAAAACGTTTAAGTGTAAAAAATCCAAAGTGGTCCCTGGTATACTAGGCGACATTGAAAATGCACCATCAAGAACTTTGCGATATTTCCCCAAAATGAAAAAATATTTGAAAAACTGTGAAATCTTAGAAAACAAAATTTTAATTCTGTTTCAATTTTGAGTTATGCCTGAAATTAACCAGGAAAACTCATTTGATCCACATAAAAAAATTGCGTCAATTTTTCTGGTTCTCTATCAGAGCAAGCAAAAGTTTCAATGCCGCTTATATGGGGAGGGTTCTCATGCTTGGGGGACCGAATGCTTGAAAAATTTCAACCAATCAAAATCGCTAAGCGTTCCTATTGGTTAAATGCTTTTCTCACTAAATTGAAGTCAATATTAACAAAAACGTATTAAATCAGTGGAAAATAAATAAAAATATTACTAATTGCGGTTTGCAACCGTAATACTATTCAGATAAACATCAAGATTTATGAGTTCAAATTCATAAGATTTTTTCAGTCTTGAAAATTCATCTGCTTATTATCTAATCGGTCAATATTAACACTAATGGCCTGGATTTATTTTTTTACTTTGAGATTATCGCGATTAACTTTGAGATTTTGAATACTCATATCTGATTGGCTGAAAGTAAGCTCAAACTAATTTCAAGCATTGGGTCCCTCGAGCATGAGGGATGCCATCCCGCATTTATAACGCAGTCAAATAAATTCTTATATTAAAATAAATTGATAAAACAGTTAACCGAATACTGAACTTTCCTCGGTCTATTGTTTTTTTTTGGTTACGTAGCAGTTTTTAGACAACCTCGTATTCAGACTCGTCAGTATTTAGACAAATACTGTATTAACCAATCAGAACCGAGACAAGGAAGAAATGAATAATTAATAATTATCTATTTCGTAAATTTGCTTTCTCATCTCGGTTCTGATTGGCTAATATGGTAATTCTCTGCTTACTGACGAGTATGAATACGCGGTTGTCTAAACACAGACCGCACTCCGTTTTTTACCTTGTTTGCGATGGATGAGAGCAAGATTGCAAATAGGACTGTCCAATGTGCTTTTATAACATGCTTTTATATTATCCTTTAAAAAAAATTTGCTGCTCCAAAGGTTTTGCCAATTTATATCTTTGATAATACCAATTTTTTGGAAAAAACCAAGAGAGTACCTATTTACATATGTTAACAACTTTTCCTTTTGTTTTTATCCTCTTGAAGTAAATTTCAAAACTTTTAGCGAGACTACAATTCCAAACTTTTTAAATGGGACTCAAGACCAATGACAAGTCCATACTTTCAAATGAGTACTAGCAGTGTTGGTCCTTTAATAACACAGTACGTTTTAAACATGTTTTAAACACTGTTTAAAACGTCTGTCAGAAATAGCGTGTTATTTTCTCGTGTCATAAATGACATCATAACAAACCGGCCTCCGATATGTGCTTGAGATTACTTGCACTTGTTCCCACCTCGGCCGGCCTCGATATAGTTTTCTCGGCAATGGGAATGGTTGAAGACGGAAAAAGAAACAACTTGGACAGTGCAAAAACTGCAAAACTTCCATTTAGTATGCGTCCTCTTAATGATTGAATTTCATTAATGAACGTTTTAGCTCAGTTTTTAATTTTGACAATTTAAACATCAATGACATTTTAAACGTCCTTTTTCCAAAAATGACATAAATTGACCAACACTGAGTACTAGAGTTGTAACCTAAGAATCTGCCAGGTTTTAATTACATTTCACGGCTAGTGCCGCGTGGAAACATCACATCCTAAACTAATGAACAAAACTAAAACGCAAATGTAGGTTTTTGCTCTCCAAAGTGCCAAATTTCAAAGGTGGCGTGTCACGGAGCCGAATACCCGGATAGCCGAAAAATAAATTTGTTCCAGGATAGCCGAAAAATAAGTTCGTTCTCGGATAGCTGAAATTTTGGGTCTACTTAGCAATTACCTCCCTTCTGCCCCCTTACCCATTTCTTAATTGGGGAGGGGGGAGAGATTCGTTACTAGGTACCATCGCGGTGAAAGAGATTCTACAAACTTACTTAAAAACCTTGTTTTCATTGTTTTCATTACCCTTTCTCTACCCTTTGTTTCGGTACCCTTTCTCTACCCATCCCCCTCACACACAAACTTAGTCCGATCATTCTTCCTTCCCATTCCCTTCCCCCTCCCAATTACTTCCTCTGACTACCCACATTTACCCCCACCATGCCCCCCCCCCCCCGTTTTTGGGATTTTTTGAAAAAATTTAGACCAAAAAATTCCGTTTTTCAGCGCGTGCTCCCCTTTAAAATTAGCATATACTGAAAAATTTTAGGGTTTCTCGGCCGAAAATGGATATCATAAAACATACCAAAGAGGGACCCTTTGGTTGTTGAGGGGGTCAAATCCCTGTAGTAGTCGGACTTTTGCTATTTATTAATTCAATGAGAGCAAAAGTATTAACTAATCAAATCTCTTTAAAATGTTCGGAATTTTGTTAGCTATAACAGGCTGCGCATTTTGTCCAATCAGAATGCGTCTCAAAATTTTCTGATTTAATTTAACTAAAACCGGAGGTATTTAGTTTTTTCGGCCATCCGGGAATGCGGCTCCGTGGGTATGCACCAAAGTTCTGAAATGCCAAATTCTAAGTTAAAATGCAAAATTTCATTTTAGTCAATATTACTTAATAATTTCAACAAAATTTTTTAATCGACCTTGAGAAAATGCTCTCAGCTATTCTCCATGAGAGTATTTTTTTTTTGGTTTCAACTACTTATCAATTTATCCCAGGGCTTCAAATGCCAGTTATCTCCGTCTGCAGTAAGTTTTTCAATGAGGTGAACTTTCTTGAGTAAGCGGAGTAAAACAGGCTGTTCATGTGATTCGAAACCTTCTCGGCAATAAAAAAATGACTTTTTCGATATAAAAACTTCACTCAATTTGGCTGTTTCTTTAATTTCACGTAATTTGAAAAACTAAATGCATCGAACAAAAATGAGCCTTTTCATGCCCGGAATAGACTGGTGGTAAGTGCTTCAAAGCAAGTAAAGATATCTCATCGTGGGTAGGTGAGATTATTTCCTCATGGAGGATTTCAAAAAAAAATTGTTGAAAGTCTTAGTTATTATTCAACAAAACGGTCTTTGAAATGGTGCATACCCACGGAGCCGCATTCCCGGATAGCCGAAAAAACTAAATACCTCCGGTTTTATTTAAATTGAATCAGAAAATTTTGAGACGCATTCTGATTGGACAAAATGCGCAGCCTGTTATAGCTTACAAAATTCCGAACATTTTTAAGAGATTTGATTGGTTAATACTTTTGCTCTCATTGAATTAATAAATAGCAAAAGTCCGACTACTACAGGGATTTGACCCCCTCAACAACCAAAGGGTCCCTCTTTGGTATGTTTTATGATATCCATTTTCGGCCGAGAAACCCTAAAATTTTTCAGTATATGCTAATTTTAAAGGGGAGCACGCGCTGAAAAACGGAATTTTTTGGTCAAAATTTTTACTAAAAATCCCAAAAACGGGGGGGGGGGCATGGTGGGGGTAAATGTGGGTAGTCAGAGGAAGTAATTGGGAGGGGAAAGGGAATGGGAAGGAAGAATGATCGGACTAAGTTTGTGTGTGGGGGGATGGGTAGAGAAAGGGTACCGAAACAAAGGGTAGAGAAAGGGTAATGATAACAATGAAAACAACGTTTTTAAGTAAGTTTGTAGAATCTCTTTCACCCCGATGGTACCTAGTAACGAATCTCTCCCCCCTCCCCAATTAAGAAATGGGTAAGGCGGCAGAAGGGAGGTAATTGCTAAGTAGACCCAAAATTTCAGCTATCCGAGAACGAACTTATTTTTCGGCTATCCGGGAACGAATTTTTTTTTCGGCTATCCGGGAACAAATTTATTTTTCGGCTATCCGGGTATTCGGCTCCGTGACACGCCACCATTTCAGAGAGAAAAATTTAAATTTGCGTTTTATTTTGTCCACTATCGCAAGCCGGTAACAAACCAATACAAATTGCAAGGTCCTGTTCAAAAAATCCAAATCCACGGTACTTAATTTCAATTAAAAATTTTTGGTCATTACCAGAAAAAAAGAAACTGACAAATTTGCAGTAAAAACCTATTTCATCTCGAACAAATCAGAAAACTTGAAATTAACCTGCGGTTTTTGGAGATAGCAGTTTCTCCAACGTTGATTGAAATTTCAGTAGAAAGATAATTCCAGCTTCCATTTGCGTTTTTCATGTCAACCAGCAAGTCAAATTTGTAAATGCCAGCATCACAGTTATCGACAGTTCGGATCGCGAGAGTGTTATATCCAACTATGAAGGGTTCGAAGATTTTAGAACTCGGTTGCATATAGTAGTAAACTTCAGGTGTGTATTGTTCTGTTGATCCGTATCTGATGTTAGTAAGTCCTTCAATTTTTCGCCCGGGCGAGCAAGAATCAATTGCAGCTTCGTATTTCGGGTACTGAAAACTCGGGACAAATCGACTAGTCATTTCCAAGACAACTTTAACTTGTTGGAAATTATCCATGTCGTACGCGCATAATTGATATTTAGAGGAGTAATTTTTCGCTGGGTTATTGCATTTGACAACTCCCCCATTTCCGATGTTGAACTGGCTGAGAAAGTGGGAATTTCCACTCGGGTTTGTTACGTCATCGCTCAGAAGCCGGAAGTTGCTGAATGGAAGTGTAAACAGGTCTTCGAACTGGTGTGAACAGGTGGCTTTTCCGTAATTCAGTTCAATTCGTTCACAAGTTGATAAAATAAAGTTTGTCCAACATAAAAGAAGGAACGCGGGTTTGAGACGAACCATTTTGGAATAAAAAAAAAAAAACCAAATTTTCGTTACCAATTTGTCAAGACGCAAATAAAATAATTATAATATCGTTAAAAAATTGGAATAATTCTGTTTTCCATCAATTTCTTTGAAAGTAATTTTAAGACACGGATTGACTTTTTGGCATGAAAGTTAACTTACGGTTTTATTTTGTTCAGGCCGTTTGTTCAGGCCGTTTTTGGTTTCAGGTATGGCGTGGTGACTTTCACAATTTTTGGTTAAGCATAGCTTTTAACTCATGCGTTGTTTCATGGATGAAAATAAGTGGTGAAGTAATTTACTCTTGGTTCAATAAAGTTTGATCATAAACTGAAAATATACGTCTGAATGCGTAACTTATTGGCAAATAAAACCGATGGTACAAACCGAAGCCGCTCGGTCTTCAAATCAAAAGAAACGCCGGTACTCGCTGAGTCTGATGGTTGTTTTAGTCATGAAATGTAACGTAAAGCAAAGTATATTCAAGAAAAATTGAATATGAAAATAATTCACTGTGCATCTATCTAGCTTGGAGAAAAAAAAAGATCAAACGTACATTGAAAATTGTGAATTCAGCATGAAAAAGTAGGTATGAAAGATGGGTCCCACCATTTTCATGAAAATTGCAAAAAACGCAAATTGCATTTTAATTCCAAAAATTTTGGTTGCAAATTTTTTTCTCATTGGACCGATCTATATTTTAAGGAACAAACTATCATACTTGTACCAAAACAGTTTTTCAAAAAAGGACCTATTAAAGATCTCCCCCTATGGTATTTAGCTACTAAAGAATCTCGGTCTCTTTAACTATTTCACCCGCCCCCTTTTGCTAAAGGGGAGATTCGTTATTAGGTACAAAATTTACATATGCTTAACCATTGAATTTTTTCTTTCTGGGGTGGCAAATCGTTGCTAGGTACCCTAGGGGGGGGGGGGATAGTTAAAAAGATCCAGAATCTCCACTCCTAAAACAAAAAACGTAAATTAGCGCTAATTGAGAATTCTAATTCTGCTGCATTCTGATTGGTCAAAAATTCGACTAGCTAAATCTTTTGGGCTTTTTTCCCCAATTTGTAACTATAGAAAAATGTCAACAAAAAATCAATTGTAAAACTTCGCAGGTGGGGGGAGTGAGGAAAAATATCTAATTAAAAGGGGTGATTATTAAGTAGGGTCACGGTCAACAAAGTTGGATCAAGTTAACATCCAAAGTTGGATCGGGTTAAACGGATTTGGGGGGAAGGATGTTAACTTGGTCCACAAAGTTTTTAAAAGACCTGATCAACAAAATTTTTTATAAATCTAAAATGTTTTCAACTTGGCAGTTTCATTTGCAAGTTTTAGAAAATGATGCTGACTTATCATATAACATCGATTTCTTGCGACATTGGTAAACATTAAGTAAGCTCTTAAGTTTCAGTTGAATGGTAACCAAATGTTATTGTTATTTGAAGCTAGAAAAACTGAGTAAGCTCAAAATGTAGTGTTGGTTTATTACAAAAAATGAATCATGTGGTTGAAAAAAGCATTTGCTGAATCGCAAGAAATACACAAACAATATAACATAACGATGAAACGTGTTTGTGCGCGTTTTTTCATCCTCACGCTTCGCTGCAAACCAAATAAAAAACGGCGTGTGTTCAACGAACGCCATATCTACAATCCGCCATGTTTTGAAACCGAAAATAGATCATAATTACGTAACAATTGCAGACTAGCAGTGACAAAGTGACAAGCTAGTTATGTTGCATCAACAAAACTAATTTTCGGCTTCTTGGAATGGTGATCATATTTTTGGCTTGATGAACCTTCGGCTTGTTGGTCTACCGCATAAAAAACAGACGGCTGAATATAATGCGTTCACTATTGTCGTTTTCCCGTGCAGAAAAGAAAATGTCTGCAATGATAAAAAAAAGGAAATAAAATTTGCTTACGTTCAATCACAGGTTCTGAGCCCATTGCAGTATTTGAATGAAGGATTTGAGCCAGCTACATGACAACAATTAGATCTACAAGGTGCTGGTGTGCAATAAGCAGATTTCGTAATTAACCAAAAAACAGAAAGGTTATCGGGTCTTATGCGTTAAACGGCCCAAACATCAAAATTGAAGCAAAATAAAAACTAAAACTGAAACTGATCCTGATTGGCTAATATTAGCCAATCAAATTCGAGCAACTAGGTCAGCCATTTCGATTGATACTGAGATCAGGGGCGGATTTGGGGGGGGGGGCGGGGGTGGCGGACGTTCCTTTCCCTCAGGGATTCGAACCCCTGCCAACCCAAAGGGTCCCCCCTTTGGTACTTTTTAAGAAATCCCTTTTTGTCCGACCAACCTTAAAACTTTTCTAAAGGCGCCTTCGGCCCCAATATATACTAATTTTGAGGGGGGAGCGCGCGCCGAAAAAACGCGTTTTTTTTGTCAAAATTTTCCAAAAAGTGCCCAAAAACGGCTTTTTTGACCTGTTTTTTCAAAAAAATTGCCTGCGGCGCAGAAACTTTGGCCAAAACAGTGTCTTTTTACTGCTTTGGGAGAGCTCGGAAAATCAATCTGATCGACCTAAAAAAAAGGTCGTCAAAATTTTCGAAAATTTTTTGAAAATCCGCCCCCCCCCCCCCCCCTCGAGAAAATCCTAGATCCGCCCCTGACTGAGATTAATCCTGATTGGCTCGTATACTATGTAATACCTTAAGTAATTGTAGGTTGATTACGTGTTTTCAATTTGAAATAAAATTTCTGACTATTTTCCTAATTTTGAATTTTGGGCCGTTTAACGCATAAGACCCAGGTTATCAGAAACAGAAACCAAAAACTAACAAGAGGGTAAATCAGGCAATTTTCTGTTGAAATAACTGCAATAAGCTGAAAGTTGATATAGTATTATAATATATTACTATGTCAATTTGGTTGGACCAAGTTAACATCCTCCCCCCCCCCCCCCCCCCCCCCAAAAAAAAGGGGGAAGGATGTTAACTTGGTTCTAAGTTATAAATTTTCAGCATTTTCGAGCATTTTACATGCAGCGCTTAGCAAATTCAATGCGAATTAAATGCTGGGTGGAAGATCTTAACTTGTTCTATCTGGGGGTGGGGGTGGGGGTAGAAGGGTTATGGAGGATGTTAACTTGATTCGTCAATTTTCATCTAATTGCAGTTAATTCAAACCGGTTTTCGGTTTCTGTTTATGTTTCTGATATTCAGTTTTTTAAAGATATGAATTGAACCTAAACTGGAACTTGAGCAAAAAATCAGCTCAGTATAAAGACCTCCGTCAGAAAGTTGCAACCCGCTGCAATCAATTGAGACTTTACCGCAAAACTTAAAGCTTCAGAGGGAACACTTTGCGTTTAGGAAAACTAAGGATTCCTGTGGCAAGAAAAAAATTTCTACCAAAAATTCCTCACCTATCAATTTTCACATCAACATTTTCAGTCCTAATTTGCAAAGAAAACAAAAGCGAAGAGATTCAAATTGAAAAAAAATATATATTTTCGATTGAGGAATTTAGCGTTTTACAGGTTCCTATATTTGATTTCCAAATCGAGCATCTTCACAAAAAATCGACTGAAAAGCAAATACCAAAGTTTTATGTGAATTAACTCATGTTATTCGATAGCCGAGAAATTCGAAAAATAAGTCGAGCAAAGTCGAAACATAGGTCGAGCACAGTCAAAATAGATGTCGAGCACAGTCCAAACATACCCAATTTTGGGGACGTTCAACAGTTCCGAAGTACAACAGAGCCGAAGTGTCACTTAAAATTGTACGCGATCGCCGTTTAATTTTTGTTGAACTACGTTTCATTTTCGGCACTGTTGAACTAACTTTTTTCGGCACTGTTGTACTGCCCCAATTTCGAGCGACAAATTCTTAACATACGTCGAGCACAGTCAAACATACCCAATTTTGATTGAGAAAGTCAAAATAAACGTCGATCACGAAAGAAATATAGGTCGAGCACAATCGAAACACAGATCAAGTACAGTCAAAACACAGGTCGAGTACAGTCAAAACAATCGTCGAGCACAATTGAAACATAGGTCGAGCAGATGTTTTTTGGAGTTTTTATACCGTGTCCACTAATCGACTGTACCAAAGAAACATTAACAAAAAAAAGAATAACTTTATAAAGGCGCAATAGAAACTGTCTCACTATGTGAGCTATTTGGTTGATATTGAAAACTGTAAAATGATAAATCAAAAGTTTAAAGAGGTCGGACAAAAAAAAACTTTTAAAAATGTCGTTCGAGAAAGTAGAAACATATCGAATTTTGGTTGAGAAAAATGAAACATACTCATTTTTGGTGTCGAGACAGTCAAGAAAGTCGAAACATATCGAATTTTGGTTGAGAAAGTCGAAAGGTTTCTGAACTGGGTCAAAGAAAGTCGAACACTTTTTTTGTAGGGTCCAGGAAGTCAAAATAAACCGAAATTTGGTCGATAAAGTTGAAAAATAAATCGACCACCTCAAGTTGCAGCCTCTCCTCAATTCTGGTTGCCAAATTTTCCAGAATGGTCCGCTTTAGTAATATTGTGCGACATCTAATTGTAGCAGCCTGACCCTGAAATGTTTATGAGGCCCCTTTGCTGTCAAGATGTACTAATTATCAAGGGGAATTTGCGCATCAAAAACACTCCTTTACTGCCAACATGTACTAATTATGAAGGCGGGAATTGCGCATAAAAAAAAACAGAGTTTTTGGCTTATTCAAAAAAATGGTTTGCGATGCAGGGTTTTTGTGAGAATATTGTCTGCATAGTGTTTTGGGAGAGCCCAGAAAATCAAATCTAAAAAAAGTCGACAAAGGTTTCGAAATCCTTTAAAAAACCGCCTCACCTCGATAAGTTTCTAGATCCGTCTGGATATAAAAATATGAATTTAGTTCCCATTCATGATTTTTAGCAAAAATGCATCAAAAGCGTTACTCTGCTGGTTATAAACAAACGGAGATTCAAAAAATGCTAGTAGCAGCCATGTTTCTTACTGAATGCTCACTACTGTTGTCTGTCTCAAAAACAGACAACCATCGTTTGTAGGCAAACTTTTTAGGCAAACTACGCTATTATTTTAAGAATTATAAAGAAACCAGACTGCTTCTATCAGGACAAAACCCTGAATTATTTGACTGCCTTTTAAGTTCTATGGAATAGGTTTCCATCTAAAAATTTAGCTAAGATTTTTTGAGACTATTTTTTGAAAATCATCCACCATACACCAAACAGAATTAAAACGTTGCCTCAGTTCAATTTGGAACGACTTCTAACACGGATTAAACCTCTGCCTACGCTTTAATAGCACCAATTTTAGGACACGTTAATTGTCCCAAAATGGCCTAATTGGTAATTTTAAATCTCCATAACTTTTCGGATGGTCACAGTGAAATATTTTATTTTAATTTGAGCTCAAGTCATTGAAAATTTTTGGATGAAATAGAAAAATGTATTTAAAAAATGGCTAATTACAGTCAAAAATTGTCTGGAGAAAAAGACCACCCGAAACTGCTCATTTTATTTCTGCCTTGCCAGATTTGATACAGTTCTTAACATTGCCTTTAAATTCTCAGTCAAAAATGGCTAGTTAAAAACTTGAAATTTGTCTGGAGAAAATAAAAACGCTCCGAGCACTAAAATTCCGTCACTTTCTTCAAATGTCAGAACAAAAAAAAGTGTATTTTGTTTATAGCAAGGTATGAAACAGTCCAAATTGCATGCCTCAGCTCTATTTGGAAAAATTTCGAAAAAGGATTTAATCCCTCCTACGCGTTATCAGCGCGAGATATATCGTGCGCTAATTGTCCCAAATTGGCCTAATGTGCAAACCTTAAACTCCCATAAAAATTCACAGGTAAATTATTCTTTTTAAATTTGAGCTCAGCACAACCAAAAATTTGGAGGAAACTGAAAAAAAATATCGAAAATGGTTTCTTAAAAGTCAAAAAACGTCTATAGATTAAAAAAAAACTCACCAAAAATTGCTCATTTTAATTCTGATTTTGCATTCCGGTTTGCTTTTGGTTTCCAACACTAAAAATAAGATAGACCTGCTTTTTTGCCTGCTTCGTTTCTTCTCAATTGACAAAAATTCTCTTTTCTTTCAAATCATTTCTTTTGTGCAATATCGTAAATTTTCTTTTATGAAAAATGTCGATATATAAGATTTAGAACTTATGCCAAAACAAACTGATCGATCAAGCTGTTTCAGTATGTCGGGTGTTCCACGATGTAGGTTGGCCAAGAAGCAGACACTTTCCGCAAGTTCGAATCAGTAAACTAGGCCATAATAGAAACATAAATTACCGCTGGTATACTAAAACTGACTAACTGAGTTAAAAAACTGTGTTATAATTGAAAAAGAATGTGTTATGATTGTTTCTTTTATTTCACTTAGAAAAGGGTCCACAAGTCCTTTGTACTTCAAATTGACAAGCATTGCAGATAACTGATGGCCTACTAAATGAAGTAAACATAAACCTCACAAGAAACCATAAAGTGCAAACGGACATTCTTAGCAACATAAAGTCGAGAAATCAAATGTCGGAAGGATTTTTGTTTGATTACATTCCCAAAGCAGTTTTATATCATTAAAAATTGCGATTAAATGAAAAATCTCCACCTCATTCAGTTTAGCGGGAGATTATACACTTGATCAAACTCTTTTCGTTTCAGTCGTTTATAATTCAGCATATTGAAAGATGCTTTTAATGCTTATCCTTTCCACTCAATTTTACGGGGCAGATTGTTCACATGGTTAGTTTAGGAGACAATTTATTCACATGGGCCACAGAAATACTTGTAAAGGGCCAACCGTGCTTTAAAATAAAAGCAAAAATTTGTCTCAGATAGAGTTGTCTGAAGTTTTGACTTTTTCGTCTCATTTTAGTTTCGTCTTTGTTCTCAGTTTTTAATCAAACTTAATTGAGATTTCGTGAAATGGTCAAACACGCCCAGTTCGTTCTCTCTTCAAACAACATTGAGAATTTGAATTTGTTTATGAAGGTCGAAAAATTTCTGTAACGATATAGCCAGAGTTTTTTTGCCTCCGTTATTTTGTGAGAAAACAAGTTCGCCTGAAAGACTGAAAACAACACAGAACTTAATTTTGTCTGCTCAGATTTTTCCCAAGTCCACAAACTTTTTCTTTCCTTCAGAATTTCTTCTTTGGTGCACTTTTGTAAACTCGCTTCAGGTCTGGGTAGGATGTTCCACAGTGCAATTTGGTCAAAAAACAGAGTTTAACTTTCAAGTTTGAATCAGTTATTTGCTGAAATTTAGTGTAGCGCTGGCACAAAAAAAACTGACATAATGAAATGAAAAGAATAAAATAGATATATGTTTTAGACTCTTTCATTTTGTTTCACTTAGAAAAGCGTCCCGAAGTTCTACTAGACACACATTGCAGATAACTAATCAACAACGAAGGTCAAAACTAAAAGAACTTAACTGCAAACTCACAACAACAAAGTGCAAACGAAATTGCTTAGCAGCTTAAAGACGAGAATTCAAATGTCTCGTCTAAATTGTTGTTCCGATAAGTTCCCAAAACAGTTTTCGACTAGATGGAAGCAGTGACAAAGTGAACAACCTCCGCTCCATTCAAAGTACGGGAGAGGTTCTTCATGTTGGTTAATATTTTTCCTTTTCAGCCAATTGAACTTCAGCATTTCGTAAGCTGGCTTTTATGCTCGCAGTTTCTACTCAGTTTTAGGGGGATATTGTTCACATGAAAATATATGGGGGGACCCGCACGGAGCGCCCATGGATTCTAGCAGATTATAATGGATTCCCGAGACAAAAATAATCGGTTATAATCCATTACGGATGTAAAATTCAGACCACGAAATCGATTATATAGCCATTATAATCGATTATTTTTGAACAAATATAATCCATTATAATCCATTATAATCGATTATAATCCATTATTTTTGTCACTGGAATTGATTATTTTTGCCAAGATTATAATTGATTATTTTGAAATGAAAATCCATTATAATCCATTATAATTGATTATAATCCATTTCATTTTTAGAACTAAATTCGATTATTTTTGCAAAATTTTGCAAATTTTGCGAGAAGTTTGTAGAATTTATGCCCTGTCTTTTACTAAATGCCATGTCTCAACTTCGTCACCTCGCCCCCTCAAGCTTTTTAACCCCCCCACCCAACTAAAGGGGCAGGGTAAACTGGGGGAGGGGTGTAAACTGGGGGGGGGGGTATAAACTGGGGGGATGGGGAAGAAACCCGGGTCTTCCCCTCGCCCCCTCAAGCTTTAAGCTTTCTTACCCCCCCCCCCACCCCCCAGCTAAAGGGGCAGGGTAAACAGGAGGGGGGGGGAATGGTGGGAGGGGGGAGGGGGGGGTAAACTGGGGGGATAGTAAACTGGTGGGTGGTAGTATACTGGGTACTGGGGGCTTAACTGGCTGAGGTTGGGTAAAATGAAGTGTTAAACTGCGATGAATTAGAAAAAGTAGAGACAAAAAATATATAATTTTTTTTCTTAAATGTAACATTTTATGAAACATAACACGTAGCAACTACACTAAACAGGAAATGAGATAATTTTGAATAAAATTGTAAATTTCATGAATAACCCCTCAAAAAAATCCATTAAAATTGATTATAATGGATTATAATGGATTTTATTGGGATAAAAAATATTAGGATTATAATCCATTTTTAATGGATTATAATCGATTATTTTGTCATTTTATAGATGCTGACCATATTATGACAATATATTCGATTATGATCCATGGGCGCTCGGTGTGGGGAGATTGTTCAGCTTGGACACAAAAAGACTTGCAGAGGGCCAACTGGGTTTTCAGATAAAGGCAAAGAGTCCTCTCTTAAAAACAGGTCCAAAATTTTGACTGTTCTGGGCTCATTGCTGTTTTTTTGTTTTCAGTGCTTAAGCTAACTTAATTCAAATTTTTGTGAAACTCTCAATCGCGCCCAATCCGTTCTCTTCTTGAATAATATTAAGTTTTTGAATTTTTTCTAGTAGGCCGAAGATATCATTTAACGAAATAGCCAGGATTGTTTTCCGACAAACAATTTTGCTATTGGTTCCCAAGACTAAAAACAAGATAGATCTGACCTTTTGTCTGCTTTGTTTTTTCTCACGTCCACAATAGTTCTTTTTTGTCCGAATCTTTTCTTTTGCGCGGTTTTGTAAACTCGCTTCATGTCTTTTTGTTCTAGTCTCCTTTGCCTTTCTTTTTTTTCGTTTTCAGAAATGTTCTCAGCCTTCTATCAAGAGAATAAAGGTCTCTGCTACCCTTGGTTCTTTCAAATTGTCGGTATCTAAGTTTTCATTAATTATTAATGCCAAATGAAAGTTATCGATTCAGTTGTATCATTGTGCCGGATGTTTCACAGCGTGGTTTGGCCAAGAAGCAGGGCCAAGAGGCAGTTTGGCCATGAGCTCGGTGTACCCTTGATTTGTTAGAAAAAATACGTATAATAGAAGTTTTGATGGTTTTTTAAATGGGTGTTGCTTGGATTATCATTTTTTTTCCTAACAATGTTGATTCTTTTGGTCATGATGTCCTTGATCGTTCTATCGTGTGATAATTGCACAGCAACCTTATTTTCATGTCATCTAACTATTAAAATTACTACTCGGCATGATAAAATACTCGGCATTTTAAATATGCATCCACCATAAACATATAAGCAAGTTGGCAGATTCAAATTTAACAGACCGAAAAGAAACCAAACTTTTTGACACATTAAAGTAGCAAAGTAATCAGAAAATAATGTTGCTTCGCAAGTGTCACAGAGTAAGACGATCATGATCATACGAACCAAAATTGCTTTAAAAAATAAAAAGTTTTTATTACTTTTTTAAAAAAATATTGACTCTTACTGAAAAACTTCGTCAGTTTTTTTAACAAAATAACTTGTTTAAAGTTCGTTATTTCTTTGCGTCGAACGAATTAATCCAATAGCATCTTTAATATTTTTTCTAAAGACTACGAGAACTTGAAAATTAGATAAGGAAATTCTAAAGAAAACTATTCAACGATTTATGTTTGTTAAATTGAAATGTTAATTTTCTTATCGACCAAAAAGCAATCAGTTATAATATATCAATAAGAATAAAAGTAACTTCAACCATTGCCATGAATCAATCAATCATCAGCTAAATATGTCATTGTCATCTCGGATCAAGCCATTTTTTAGTCGATCTGAAACAACAAGTTAACCATATGATCGCATTTAACGCTTCTGGATTAATCTTGGCATTTTTTTCTATAAATAAAGTTTGTTCAACTCACTTTTTTCAAACTTTGCCGACAAAATTATTAATGAAGTTAGTGAATTATTCTGCTTCATATACCGAAGAGAAATATATCCAACAATTTTTTTTTTGCTTTTTTATAAAAAGTGTTTTTTTTATTCTGTCCAGGTTTTAACTGACCTCAAACCACTAAGGATCCAAATTAAAGATACTGCATCACTGCGAGTGGTTAGCTTTATTTCAAAAATTATTGCATGTAATGAAAAAGTTTTGTCTACTTTCTTACCGAATGATATGGCGTTGAGTTTGAACATGTCTGCGATGAGGTCTGATTTAGATTGGAAGTTGGAGGGGAAGATGGTCTTCAAACAATTCTCAACTGAAGTCCTCGATAGTTGACTCATGTCATCTATTCCTGAGGCCTAAAACTCAGTTTCCTAAAACTCAGTACTTTTTCATGTTCAGCAATGAAGTAAATTAAAAAAATTCAGTTGACAAAAACTAACAGATAGGTTTATTTATAAATGAAATGAAGCGATAACGCTATGATTATAATAATTAAAGGGAACCAAGTTAACTTCCTCGAGTCAACCCCAGGAGGATGTTAACTTGTTTCTAGCATGGAATTTTCAGGCAAACAGAATAGAGCTTTTTACACCCAGTATTAAGCAAGTTTTAAGGGGAGTCCAATATACTTCAGAAAATGAAATTTTCAAACCTGTATCAAGTATTTGAGAGGCTCCACTGCTTTTTGTTTCTTGCAGAGCCACAGACTAACAAGCACGATGAATTTCTGCAAGCTAATCGCACCCTGAAACAGTTAGCTGTTTGAGAGTGCTCAAATAATGGCGATGAAGCGATTCGTCAAATGCGCAAAGTCGAGAACATTAGCAACCGGTTGCTTTGCAAGAAGCACAGGTTGATGTTCCGACCATCTTGTTTGCGCAAAAACAAATAGAAAAGAAAAAACAAGGAAAGCCGGTTACTGTGCAAGTAGCACAGAATGTTCCGACCCTAGTCATCAGAAAACTGCGGTTTAGAAAGTTTTTTTTTTCGAAATAGTGTTGATTTTTTTCTGCTTGGTGTGATAAAAGTCCAAAAGTTGAAAAACAATTTAAGAATATCACACAGTCATAGTAATATAGGCATATTGAACAAAAATGTTTGTAGAAAAATTACTAGAAAAACTGAAAAAAATTGAAAAAATTTTTTTTTCAATTTTTTTTTGCAGAAAATTTTTGAATTTTTTCAAGTTTTTGGTTCCCAAAATAAAGCCAAAAAAATCCATCAATTAGTTTAACTTGTTTAAAAAAATTATTATGTCTTAATTTAGGCAAAATTCAGCTGTTGTAAGCGTCCTCGCTTGCTTTTTTTGCTCAAATTTAGGCGAAAAATCAAAAACTTCAAACCGATTTTTCTCGAAACTGGTAAAATTTTTTGGAAATGTTTTTAAAATGGTCTCGACTAATCACGACTAACAAGGCTTTAATATGATTTTAATATGATATATAACTCAACCCAGTCGGATGATTATTTGTGTTACCTGATCTTATGTGGAAAGCAAAAAGAAAATAAAAGCTAAAACAGTTGTAAATTAAACTGTTATCATCTTTTTGGCCAGGAAAATAAGTTGTTGGAAGCCTGCTAAAATTAACACAAAAAACTACAATACCGGTTTTTCTCGCAGCTGGGAAAATTTTTTGTAGAATTTTTTTATGTCGCTCAAATCACGACTATAAGGTCTTTTATAGGATATATCACTCAATTCTCTCTGATGACTATTTGTGGCAACTAATTTTGCGTGGGGAAAAAAAGAAAAAACTGAAACACACCCGAATAAAAAATTCCTCCCTATTTTCAATGGTCTAAATAAAAAACAACTTAATTGGCCATTTTTTTCTCCCAAAACGGCCATTTTTTTGAAAAGACATTAAATTTTAAGTGAAAATATGTCCGTTGAAAAATTCAATCCACTGAAATGCGAAAACTTTTAGACCAGTTATGTTAAAACAAACTTCATGATTAATCACTCTGCGCATCTACGTTGTAATGTTCCCCATAATTAATGTTCCCCATTATTCAGGTGTTTTTTTTGTTTTTTTTCTCTTTTATTTCAATTTTTTTGTTTTCCACTCAAATCAGGTATCACAAATAATCATTGGACAGGGTAGAGTGATATATCATATTAAAGTTATTTGAGCGAGTAAAGCGATCGAGTAACGTTTTTTATATATGATAATTAGAAAATTAAGCTAACAGCTCTTGATTTTACTAAAAAAACTTGTTTTGAAAGCTCCATTTGAACTTTCTCTGGCAAAAGTTCTTTTAAAATATTTAAAATTATTTGTCCAAAAAATTGAAAAAAAATTGTAACAAGTTTTCATTTTTTTTGTCATTTTTTAGTTTTTTTGTTATTTTTTGAAGACCATTGGATTCGTTTATGCCTTTTCTATCATTCGTATAGTTGTATCATCACACGACGTACACAAAAAACACTAAAAAAAATTTTCTTTCTGAAAACGTGGTCGAAACATTCCGTGCTCTTTGCACAGCAACTGGTTATTCTTGTTGTGTTATTTGAATTTGTGTAAAAAAAAACATCTTAGGCTAAAGTTCCTTCTCACCTTTAGGAGCACAACAGCAAAATAACTTCAAAAAAATTACATGAATAGACAATCGGTGTGCAATTAGCATAAAATGTTTCAATCAAACTTTTATAATACGAGGCCAAACTATGAATTGTGTAAATTGTATGCGGATTCCGCTGCAAAGCCGCTCTTTTTGTTCTTCTTTTGGTCTTCGGTTTTCTTTGATTGTTCGGATAAAACTTTAACCTGTTTACAAACTTGTCTCTGGAGATTCCAGAGACCTAAACACCATACATTGTGCGCAGTTTGGCCTAGTAATATAAATTGAGAAGTTAACAGGACTGCTCATATCAAGGCAAATCCCTGAATGTTCCGACTGCCCATTAATCGGTCTCGAATCGTTTTTGGTATTTGAAACATTGACAAACTACAGAATTTAGGCTGAATATATCAAAGTGTTAACGTTTGTATCGTGTATGGAATCAGTAATACCAATTAACTTGCCTCAATTCAGTTTGGAACGATTATGAGTGCGGATAGTTTGCCACACATTAATATTTTACGTATTGAAACAAACGATCAAATTATTTTTCCCGCAGCAAAGCCTCACTGTAGTCAAAAGCAAACATACTCGCATGTCACTCAAAAGATTTCCGGATCGATGCTCATACGCAGTCAATTTTTCTAAAATTGGGCTGAAATAACAAAAAAACCACCCCGGGCATATACATTCCTCATTTTCTCCGAAAGCCGGAACAAAAAGCCAAAGAAAAAAACTTTTTTTTGAAGACAGGGAAGTCGAATTAAATGTAGCGTTGCAAAATTGGCGAATAATTGCTAACTTGCTAAAATAACCTGGGAAATGCGCCATGCAATTCGACTTCAGTGTGCCTGGTGACTTCCGTGTAATTTATTATGGAAAACGGAAACGCTTTGACCAGTTTTTTTTTCAAAAAAGATGGGACATCTTTTTGTGAGATAACGCTTTTGAAAAAAAAACACTTGAACGAAGCACTGCGTTATCTAAAGTAGTTTTCTTTTCGAAAAAATGATTTTTTAAAATCCCTTGAACTAAAAAAAAATTTTCATAGTAAACTTTCTCCCATACGTCATGATAAAAACAAACTAATATTTCTTCTCTAGCAGGCGCATTTTCGAACATTAGCGTGTCTCAAATCAATTCCGAATGATACATGAGCTGTTTTTTTGTAGCGCATATATAAGGCGGACCCAGAAATGTTTCGAGGGGAGTGGTGGATTTTTTTTAAAGTTCTGTAGGTCGAGCAAAATGGTTTTCCAAGGTCTTCGTAGACACTTTAAAGACCCTTATTTTCCAATTAGTATCTGACTCTGATGTGGGTGATCTCTCCCTCTCCCCCTCTTTGGGCTAAATCCGCCCCTGTATATATGAGGTATAAACAACAGATCATTTACCTCGGCATTTTGTATCAATGGCAGAAACTCTTCATAAGACTCCCGCACATCCATCTTAGACTTCGTCTCTGCCTCTAGACCAATCAGATCCTCCAGATACTCCCGACTGATGAGGTCAGCTGAGTGCTGCTTCTGAGACAAGTACTTCACCACGTCTTCAAGCATTTTCGGCACAAGTCTAGTACAAAAATTTGATTGTTTATTTTTTTCCTAGTATTTGTGACTTTCAAAATGTATGTGTGCTATTGAACGGTCATCTTAAATATAAACCCAAACTCGTTGTGCAGTTATTGACCCCAGAGTTTCATCCTTATTCTTTTTGTATAATGTCCGCTGAAATCTGTTTTGCTCATCTTTTGACGTTTTGAGCACTTTTTTAGAAAATATTTGATTAAAAAATTGCGTTTTTTCGACGCGCACTCCCCCCTTAAATTTAGTTATATTGGCGCCGAAGGCACCTTTAGAAAATTTTTGATGATGGTCAGCCAAAAGTGAATGTCGTAAGAATGTACCAAAGGGGAACTCTTTGGAAAATTTTGGCTACCAGAGTTTTAAGGAGGATGGTAACCCCCCCCCCCCCCCCAAACAATTCCACGCGCTTCTGATTTTGAGTCTTAAGTAAATCAGTTCATGGTTAAATTTTTGTTAAATAATTATTGCCAAATTGTTGGCAATGTTTGTTCGGTCAATGAATTTGAACGAAATTAATTAACATGTCCAAAAAAACTAAATAACCTAATTGCTACAGTTTTTGACCGATTAAACTGTTCGAGGTCATCGATATAGTCAACAATTTGGCATTAACTATAAAACCGTGAAGTTAAAACTTCCAAACTATTTTTAGAAAGAAAAACTAAAAAAGAACATTAATCAACACGAGAAAATGTTTATGGCTCAATTTTGCAAACTGACGCACCCAATTTTCTGGGCGAGCTTTTCGAGGATGGTGAATTTGGTGGTCCAACCGTGTTGAGAAGCGAGGAACCTTCTTCTGAACTGAACCCCGTCTCTGTGGGAGTAGTTTCTCACCGGGATCTTCAGAGCACTGGAACAAGATGAAGTCCGGAGATGCGACATTCTTATGATCAGATTTGCTATGACTTGAGTTTCATTTAAATTTGTCTAACTTATGGCCGACCAAAGATTTTGATCGTAACATTTCTATCTATAGTTAAATTTAAAAAATTAAAATATTGTCTTTTATCGCTTAGGGATAGTTCGAAAAATCAGTTCAGCCTCTCTAAAAGAGGTTGACGCGTTTGTTTATTGTACCGACTTTCCGTTTGTTTATTGTTCGCGTTTGTTTATTGTTCCGACTTTCCGTTTGTTTATTATTCGCGTTTGTTTATTGTTCCGACGGAAATATTTGTGCTCGGGGTGGATTTTTTTTCTTCAGAAAAAATTCGACTTTTTGATTAGCCATTTTTGACAGATTTTTTAAAATACATTCAAAAGGTATTGTTGTCTTAAGCTTAAATTTGAATAGATATTCGCCTGCGGTCATTTTTCGTAAAGTTATGGGGATTTGAAGATTGCCATTTTGGCCATTCGAGACAAAATATATTTCGCGCTTTTAACGCGTTAGCGAAACTCAAATCCGTCTTAGAATCGTTCCAAATTGGTAGAAGGAAGGGGTCTTATGCGTTAAACGGCCCAAAAATCAAAATTGAAGCAAAATGAAAATAAAACTGATACTGATCCTGATTGGCTAATATTAGCCAATCAAACTCGATCAACTAGGTCAGCCATTTCAATTGATACTGAGATTAATCCTGATTGGCTCGTATAATATGTAATAACTGAAGTAATTGTATGTTGATTACGAGTTTTCAATTTGAAATAAAATTTCTGACTATTTTCCTAATTTTGGGCCGTTTAACGCATAAGACCCGAAGGAAGCCCATTTACCATAATTGATTTGTTACTGCAGCAAAATCTATCACCTTATACTTCATATGACTTACTTTCCCAAAAATTTTCAGATTAAAAAAAATTCCTTTTATTTTCATTACATTTAATTTTTTCATGTGTTTACTACTCCATAGAACTTACAAGGCAGTCGGAACATTCAGGGCTTTGCCTTGATACGAGCAGTCTGGTTTTTTTTCTAAACAAGCCACCCCCGTTCTCAAAAAATTCAGACTCATCTGAATCTGTTAGTGAGTGCATCTGAAACGTTAATGATACACGTGTTTATTTCGTTAGTCGCGTTATCGGCAAATCTATCATTCTGTGAACTTGAATGTTGCCTGAACAAACTTGAGTTGCTGTTCTTAAGGGTACCGGAAATCAAGCCGACGGCATTTTCAGCCGAATCGACTAGCCGAAAAATTTCTCAGTAAGTCCCGAAATATGATTGAAATGAAAAGTTTTTTTGGAGAATTTTCTCAATTTCATTATCTTTCTTCCTTAAAAATTGGCATTTTATAAAATTTAAGCTTCCAAATGATGTTAACGATAGTTGAAAAATAAAACACGCATCCTAAGTGATGCCTAAAGTTTTGAAAAGCGACGCTATTGAGATGAAAAAAAAGTATTTGATGTACTTGTAAACTTTAAGTTTCGGCCTTAAGTCCCTTTGCCTTGAAGTCCCGTCGGCTTGTTGTCCTAGACCCTTTCTTAAGAACATTTATTGACTGGGAAAATCAACTTACGAGCTGTTCTGCACTTAAATGAGGAACTCTATTTAAGAACTACGCGCTTTTTGGTTTTTGTTCCGACTTTTGAAGAAAACGGAATATTTATGCTCGGTGTGGTTTTCTTAGTCAGTCAATTTTTGCTGATCGAAATAATAGTTTTTAACAAATTTTATATACACTTTTGAGGATATCGACTTCTTGAGTTCAAAAAAAAGATATTTTCTCCGATTATTTTTTCTAAAGATCTGGGGGTTTGAAAATTGCCAAATTGTTGGTGTTCTGGACTTAATTATTCGCGCTTTGATTCATAATGCTAAGAGCGTAATTCGGATTTTTAATGCTTGGAAAATTATCTCGCACAACAAAACTGTTCCAAATTGAATTATAGTTAATCGGTACGACTCAAAATATTACACTTTGATATTGTCCAACTTATAGGTTTTCAATATTTTCTTTTCCCAAAAACTATTCGATATGAATTAAGGGGCAGTCGGTACATTCAGTGCTCTGCCCTGATATACGAGCAGTCTTGTTTTTCTAGGTCGAGTTATGTTACCTCGCCCGCAACAAACGATCAAGGATGAGGGTGGGTTTGGATCCGCCCATGATGTTTCAACTGAGAGGCTGAAACCGTAGCCACTTTAACGATATGTCGAAAAGCTTTAGAAGCTATGACTTTTTGCGATATCCTTTTTTGAAAATTATCAATATTTTTTGGTTGTTATAACTCAAACAGGGATTGTTCTGTTGTTCCTGCTCATGGCCTATCCATGATTCATACCTGGCCATGACTTGTCGGACATTGTTGGCGAATAAAGTTGGATTCTCTTTCTCCTCTTCTGATGGAATGTACACTGGCAGATACTAACAAAGCAGAAAAATTCATTGACTTGATATAACCTGAACTTCTGTTCCGACCAATGAAAATGGGGAGGAACTTTGTATTTGGGTGTGTTTTAGTTTATTTTCTTTTGTTTTCCAAGGAATCAAAATCAGGTACCACAAATAATCATCGGACTGGAACGAGTGTTATAAAATTTTAAATCCCTTCCAGTCGTGATTCGAAAGATATTTTTAAAATTTCCAAAAAATTTTCGCAGTGTTGAGAAAAACTAATTTGAAACTTCTGAAGTTTAGTCTAATTTCGCCCGAAGAAAATGATAATAACTTGCTAAACTGTTAGCTTGAAAAAATTTGATTTTTTAAATCACAAACCTTTTTGAAAGCTTTTTTGCACTTATCTGGCAAAAAAGATTCTGAAAAAAATTTAAAATATTCAGCAATTTTCTTAGAATTTTTTTCATTTTTTGTTTGTTATTCTTTTTTTTTTGAGAACAACTGTTGCCGACTATGCCTAATTTGTTAAATCGTTCCGCGTGTGTATAGTGTTTGTTGTCATGCCGCGAAAAAATACGACACTAATTTTAAGAACATGACAGCTCGAAGAACTTTTATTTGTAGTTTATATGAATTTGGCCGGAACATTCTGTGGTGCTTGCACCAGCTATCCTTGTTATGCAACCGGCTATCCTTGTTTTCATTAGAAATTAGCACGTAATTACCTCAACTTCGACAAATGTGATTGGCTGACACATCTGCAGCCAAATCAGCTTGTACCTAAAATGAAACAAATGTAAAACTCGATCCAAATAAGTTCATTTTATTTAAATCATTATATAAATTATTTTAGCAGAAGAATTATGAAAACTTACACACTAGGTCCCACAAACGCCCACGTGACACAGTCGAAATAATTAGGCCACCTCACTACCACTGGCTGGACTGGAACACCTGGCTGAAATGCACCTGTTTTGAAACTGATCAGACACTTCCGATTGGTAGTGGTGCCTTCGGGAAACAGTGCCACCTGTTTCCAGTCGATGGCAGAGGTGTCGGAGGAATTTTCGGGCTGTTTGGCACGTCGTTTGATCTCGTTTAGGGAGTCCGATCTCGAGTTGGCCATGTCTCGGCTCACGCAAACTGGTTGGAGGAACTTTACCATCGCTGAATAAAAGAATAAAGCAAAAAGGAGTCATCAGGTTCCTACAGGGAGAGCTTTAATAGAAATTAAAAATTCTAAGTTTCTTAAATAAACTTGTCAGCTTGCGTTATCAAATTTATGTTTTGGGGTGGAGAAATTCTTCGGTAATATTTCTAGATTCTACTTTTGACTATCATCAAAAACATTTTTGTAATTATTCACTTACCTGTATGTTGAAAAAAATAATAATAACCTAGAGAAAAAGATCACGCTGAAAGAAATGAAAGGTTATTTAAGCTAAAACTAGCTTAATAATATGTACACGCAAGGGTTTTTCTACTAACAAAGATATGGTAGACTTCTAAATTAAGACTAGTTTAAAACACAGTTAGGTTTATGTTAAAAGTGCTAAACTACCTATAGATTTGAATCTCAGGGTAAGACGTTGAACTAAGTTTGGTTTCATATAAAGAACAATGAACGTTGTCACAAGGATCCACAGGGCAATGCGCTTTTGGCAGGTGCGTTGAATGACATTTCAACTTATAAATTAAACTGAAGGTTAATACGTACATTTCACATTCTCCTTGAAAATTTGTTTTGGAAAAACTCATTTGGCTGAATAATATAGTAAAATTAATTCCACCCAAAACAGGTGCCCAATGGGGCAACAGATTTAGCACCGGTTTCAGAGACGGGGAGTTGTGAAAACTAGAACTGTAGAGTTCGTATGAAAAGTATATCAAGGCTCACTCAGGAGTAAAATGGATATAACTGGTTAGCAAAAACGGTGTAAGCAAGGTCAGAAAAAACCATCAACACTTAAACTCCTTGATAAATTGAATCCCAAAAGTTTTCGAATATGAACGAAAGAGAAAAAAGACTAATCATTTTGGAGCTTTTTACGACGTGAGTTTCAGATTTGAGATCAAGTTTCTAAATGGCATCTCGTTTAGTTGACTTGAATGCGGTCCAGCATCTAAGATCAATCAGGGTCATTGACCGTCCTTGACGATCCATTGCCTCAAAAATTAACGTGGTGTTCATCCAGTCAGGGATATCAGAAGTTTGTGGTTCTTTGGAGCTTCCCGTTGGATCATATTGACTTTCTCTGACTCTCGGGTTGAATTTAACGTATCTCGAAGAGGAAGTGGGTGATTTATAGAGAACAATTTCAGTTTGCCCGCTAGGTCTTCTTCTTCCGAGTTTGAGATGTCGGGAAACGAATGTCTTAAAGGCGACAAAATTGGATTAAAAAGGTCTACATAAGTAATTGCTGGGTTCTCCATCTTGATGGTTACAGCCTCCAAATTAGACATCAGGGGGGTCATAAGACAGGTTGATTGGTGTTCTACCGGTCTGTCGACGGACTTTTTTTAAATCAAATTGGTCAAAACTCTCTCAATCAGCAAAGGTGATGGCTCTTTCGTGTTGCGTCTGATGTGTGGTTTTGACATTTTCCCTGGCTGTGCAGATTTCAACGCTGACGATGCTTTTCTTGCCATTCCCGTTAATTTTGACCTTGAGAAAAATTGGATACGTTTTGGCTCGGTTATGATTTGTTCTGTGTGTGTTTGGTTTTGGTTTTCCAATCTCATCGTTGATGGTAATTTTGTAGTTGTTATCGACAGATTTCAGTCTCTTGCTAACTGAGTAGTCCTCCGTCTTGTCCAGACTATCCAGATGAATTACCAGAGCGGTAAAGGAATTTTTATTTTCTGAGCTCATTGCGGTTTTAGAATAATCACGGCTTGGATATTGTTCTGGTCCGGGTCAGTCCCCTGGTCAACAGCGGGCGCTTCTGATTGTATTTAACATCCCTGGGTAGGCCTGATGGTTGCTCCGATATTGGTCTGGGGTTTGATTGAGTAATTTAAATTTTTAAGTAAAATGAAATCGGTTGAGTCGTCGTCGTTCTCGGTTGACATATTCAAAAGTGCATGGCAGGTGTCTCTTCTCTCCGGAGTTTGGCCTGGTTCTGGTTGTTCCCATGGGGGTAAACTGCATTCTGTTGCAAAAGAGGTGCGGAGTCAGTTCTTCTGGTTTTCTTCTTCTCGCAAAAATTGTCTCCTTCGAGCTTTCGATAGCTGCGTTTTGCCTGGCAATATCTAGTTGCTCGCTTCTTCTGCATAGTCTTCAAGCTCTTGAAGCTCACGTTTCTAGCTGGTTTAATTATTCGTCTCGGCCCTTTTGTAGCGTAGCATTTGATGAATTGGTTCTTTTTCCGAGGGCTCGTTTGTTTACTCTGTTGATCTTTTCACCGCTAAATCAGGTTTATGGATGAATTTACCGCTCTTAAAGGTTATTGTATAATCTGACTCCTTCACTATTCCTTCTTTAAGCTGTCTATAGTACGGTTCACCCTTTTTTCTATCTTGAACTGTTCAATACATGAAGGTCTTAGCCGTTCGGACATTCAGTAAGGGATTGGATACTCCCAATGAATTTCTTTTTCCCGCACGTGAGAGGATCAAGCATTATTCTCCGAGTAATTGCATTTTGCAGTAAATCCTTGGCCTCAAGGTATACAATTAGGCCATATTCTTCATGGCAAACTTTCCAGGGTGAGCTTCGTGTAATCGGTGGATCATTGTGGTTTTTAGACAGGCCGGAATGACATATCTTCAGTCGAAATGCAGACATCACCATTGACGTGCAGGTGGTTAATATAGGGTTCGAAAAAGTTTCCAATTTATAAGATACTTGGTTTTGGCCTTCGTCTATTGGTATGAAAATTTTCTTTAATACCAGATTTTGTTTGGTGAGAAAAGTCAGAAATTTAGTGTCGAAAAGTTTGGGCCTAGAAAAGTGAAATAATTCTTTTTATAGCTTTCGCTTTTTTTTACTTGATCTGACCTTTGGTCCTCAATCCGCCGATTTGTTTGGAGAGCAGTCTTCCGTATGTGAAGAGCAGTCTTCTGTACCCGAATGAGAATTTCTGCTCACTGAAAATTCCGGAAGGGCGTAAAAAGTTGCAAATTTCTGCAGCGTTCTCAATTCAATTCTCACGTTCGATTTCTTGTGTTTTGAATTTGTTGTCAAATTATTCAGTCACTTTGAAGTATTTTGCATCATGTGAAACTATTTGCTGAGAAAACTTTTCTTTTATTTGTGAACGGAAAAATGAAGGCATCAAGTTTTGGAAGCCAAGGACATGGCTAATTTGAATCAACGAGGCGATAACGAATTTTTCGTTGCCTTACGACACGGGTACGGTTTCACCCGATGGGTGTCTAGACAAATAATCAACTTCTTTACTCGGGAGGTGGTCCAAAGTAAAATCGTACTGTAAAAGATTTCCTGCCTCATAGGTTTCACAAGATTTGGCCATTTTTGAACGCTTGTCAGCTCTTAAAGCCCCAATCAAAGCGTTATGATTGGTAAGAATCGAAACTATTGCTTGAAATGGTCTTTTGCCAAAACTAATCTCAAAAATTTAAGCTCGTAAGTGCTATGTTTCATCTCAGCTATATTCAGAAATCTACTGGCGAACACTACTGTTTTCTAATTTTTCACCGTGGCCTTGTTCAAGGAAAACGCCCAGACCTAAATGAGATGCATGGCGATTTCCTTTATGTTGAGTTTGACATCAAAGTGGTGGTTTGTTACCGTGTTATAGATTTCCTCTATTGAGTTTCACGAACGCCGTGAGGTTTATTTTTGATCAGTTGATTTTTTTTGCATCAGCTCTCGAAAAGGTGCAAATCGGGATGCTAGACTTGGTATAAAATTATAAAATTGGGTAAATGAACCCATTAACGATCTATTAATTTTTATACCCCTCGTCCTTTTGAGTTTAGGATGAGTCGGATTTATGGATTAGGGTACGGTTCTTTTTGAATTATTTTTCAACCACAGCCACTCTATGTTGTTGGTTCAAAATTGGCGTTTTTTCCATCTCATGGCTAATTTTTTGTCGTCTAAAGTCTTTAAAACGTCTCTATTTAATTAACGAGGGTCTTTAGCGCTACCGACTGTAGCAATCAAAATGTCGTCTAAATAACAAATAAGATTGGCAGGTTTTTTGGTTAATCGGTTGATTATTCGTTAAAATTCGTTTGGCTATAGGCCGTAAAATTCGGTTTTGAAATGATGTGAGCCCATTAAGTCTCCTCACACTATTTTAAAATTCCATTGATTACAGGTTTTGTTTTCCTCGTAACCACTAATCGTTAGAGCGACGTTATCGATAAACTCAAACAAGTTAGGAATTTGATACCTATTACGGAATATTCGATTATTTAGCCGATATGAATTCAACGGTTTTAGTGGTTCGTTGAAGTATATATTCTTTAGAAATGTCCGAGGTATCGAATATGTGGGTGGGGCCTGCTGTTTGGATACTTTCATCCCCTGATTAGAGAAGATGTCAAGCTTTATTCTGCGCTTTCGGTAATGAATAATTTTTAACTTTCAGTGTCCCAGCCTTTTGATTGGATCTTTACAACGACTTTCTTGAGGATTTTTATCGTGCTCAAAAATTTTCATAAACGTTCTTGATAGTTTCATCCACCGCTCAATTTTCAAAAATTTGTCTCTGATCTTGAGTTCCTAGAGTAATTTTTATTTCATATAAGATACCGGGCTAGATGACTCGATTTGTATTCCTGTAGAGAATTGGTTAGAGTTTTCGATTTTTAAAGTCAGTATTTTCTTTAAATGGTGTCCCTTGTGTGTGAAAACGGTTCTAACTCACCTTTCATTCTTATGTGACGTTTACCTCGTAATTGCTGTCTGCCAATAAAACTAAGAAATCTCCGGATCAACTTCAAATTCGGGATTGTCTTGCGTGTTATCCCGCTGAGATTGTTGTTCGGGTAGATTCGAATTTTGAGCAACGACGTTTGTTTGTGCTCTGGCATTTATTCTACAGCGTTTTGCGAAGTGACTTTTGGGGCCACAGTTAGTACAGGTTCTGTCTCTGGCCGGAAAAAAATATGAGGTGACCTTTCTTGAAATGTTCTCCTCAGTTTCTACATATTGTATTTTCCTCAATTTTTAGTGTCAGTTCACTTCATACAAAGGGTGATTTTGTTTAGAGCTATTCACAGGATCTCTAACATTTTGTTGATTTATCTTTGTGCCTTAATCGTGAACTAGGACATAGGATATTAAATTGTCGGGGTCAAATATTCGATAAAAAAATTTTCTCTGAAATTCAGCGTTCCCCATATTAGTAATAAAAAAATTTCTAACGTTTTTTGTCTATAAGTCTCTCCTAGATTACAGTTCTGGGCCAGTTCTGATAAAATTTCTTGAAATTTTGCTAATGTTTTGTGATCCTTTTGTCCTGGGCCAAAAAACTTGCATCCTTCGTATGTTAGGTTTGTGGTTTTTAATTGTTCCAAGAATTCTGCAAAGTTGATGTCTATGATCTATTACCTTGTCTGTTTTTTTTCTTCTTTCCGCGCAATGGGCTCGGTCGTCGGTCGGGTCTGATGGTTCTGAAATTGGATTAGTTAGGTCGGGCCTAGACGGTGGGTATATCACGTGTTCGATGTCGACTGAATCTCTGGATATAATTGTTAGTTGACATTTTTCTGCCCATTTTTCCCAATCTTCGTGTTTTTTGCTTGATGAATTTTTCCAAAAGTATTTGAATCCTCGTAGGTTTCATTTGTTTGGCTGCGCCAAGTTAAAAAGTTATAAGAACCTACGGATAAAGATCGCACTAAGACGATGAAAGGTTGCTTAAGCTAAGGCTAGATTAAGAATATGTACACGCAAGGGTATTTTTACTAACTAAGATTTGGTAGACATCTAAACTAAGACTAGTTTAAAAGACAGTAAGGTTTTAGTTCAAAGTGCTAACCTAACTAGAGATGTAAAACTCTGAGTAAGAAACAGAACTAAATTTGGTTGCAATAAACGAACAATCAACGTTATCACAAGGATCCAAAAGGCAATACGCTTTTGGCAGATAAGTTGATTGACTTTTTACCACAAAAATTAATTTGAAGGTTAATACGTGTTTTTCACAATGTATGATCATTTTAACCTCCCTTTCGTCACAATGATCAACAAAATGTAAAAAAAACTGAAAGCAATTGTCATAAAGGCATATTCGGCCCATTTGCAAAGGAATATATAAATACTTCTATCCACAAATTTACTCAGTTGGCCTGGCCTACTTAGAGAGTTACCCAATGAGTGAATTTAGAAGGTTGCTTTTGATTTGAAAAAGTGTTTTTACAAATGTACCATTTATTGAATTCTAGATTCATAAAAAGACAAACACACCTCCGATGATAGGCAACTCGGCATTGTCCATCCTGGACACTGGAGAAGAAATGTCATCAACAAAGTGCAGCAGAGCGTCTGTCCAGCTGGAGTGGGGGGCCATGGTGAGGATGGGGGCCTCCTTCTTAGTGGCTCTTCTGCCACGGGTACGAATGAAGAGGAACCCTATGGTGAAGAAGACAAACTGGGCCACCGGTGGTCCCAGTTCACGCTGGATCCATCTGAAAGAAAAAATAGAATACAATTTCTTTTATATGAGAGACTCTTTTCGACAATTTTGTCAACGGTTTAGTTTTGTCGACCTTCTATTTTTCTCAGGTCGACCAATTTCATTTTCCGAAAGCACGTTTTGGGACGAAAAAAAAAACAGCCCGAAAGTGACGTCTTGAGCACTTCTTAAAAAATTTGACCAAAGTTTTCGTTTTTTTTTCGGCGAGCACTTCCCCCTCAAATTTATTTATATTGGCGACAAAAATTTTTCATGTTGGGCCAACCAAAAATGGATGAAAAATTACTATGACTGTCGAATATGCCTAAATTATAGTTTTACGTCAGATCCTTTTATCACACCACGCACAAAAAACACTAATTTGTAAATATTATTTAACGACTATGCTCGGAACAATCTGTGCTACTTGCACAGTAACCGGCTATCCTTGTTATATTTCAAAGTAAGAACATTAATTAGAGTCGGTCGAAACAAAATAGAACTCAAAGTCAAATCATAGATTCAAACTCGGAGTCGACGCAAAAATTCGAATTTAATTTATTACCTTCTCCACCCTCTGAGTGGTTTCTTCAGTTCCTCGTGAGTCAGTCCCCTCACAGTGAGCACACAGATGAGCCACCCGAGAGAGAGGGCAAAGGTCACTGCTATCAGTCTAAGGGGAACAACAAACACACTCATCAGCACTATCTAAACAGACAAATGAGTCTCATAATTTACAATACAACTCGGAATTGAGCCAGTTTAACAAGTTTCTTGAAAAATCAAAATATGACGCCATTATGAATTGATTTTTCAATTGACCAAAAAACAGCAATGGTTTTAAGCTTATTCATCAATGCAACTGAAACGTCACAACACATAGTTTTTCACAGCGGTAATGGAGAAAAAAATAGAGAGTGCATTGTTTCCTTGAGAGGCTCTTATTTGGCCTCTAGCTTCAGGTCTACCACAGCCTGACCAAGTCCGACTGTTACAGCCTGACAGATTTCGGCTGCTACAGCCTGACCAATTTCCACTGCTGCAGCCTGACCAATTTCCACTGCTGCAGCCTGACCGATTTCCACTGCTGCAGCCTGACCGATTTCCACTGCTGCAGCCTGACCGATTTCGGCTGTTACAGCCTGACAGATTTCGGCTGCTACAGCCTGACCGATTTCGGCTGTTACAGCCTGACAGATTTCGGCTGCTACAGCCTGACCAATTTCCACTGCTACAGCCTGACCAATTTCCACTGCTGCAGCCTGACCGATTTCCACTGCTGCAGCCTGACCGATTTCCACTGCTGCAGCCTGACCGATTTCCACTGCTGCAGCCTGACCGATTTCGGCTGTTACAGCCTGACAGATTTCGGCTGCTACAGCCTGACCGATTTCGACTGCTGCAGCCTGACCAATTTCCACTGCTGCAGCCTGACCGATTTCGGCTGTTACAGCCTGACAGATTTCGGCTGCTACAGCCTGACCAATTTCCACTGCTGCAGCCTGACCAATTTCCACTGCTGCAGCCTGACCGATTTCCACTGCTGCAGCCTGACCGATTTCCACTGCTGCAGCCTGACCAATTTCCACTGCTGCAGCCTGACCGATTTCGGCTGTTACAGCCTGACAGATTTCGGCTGCTACAGCCTGACCAATTTCCACTGCTACAGCCTGACCAATTTCCACTGCTGCAGCCTGACCGATTTCCACTGCTGCAGCCTGACCGATTTCCACTGCTGCAGCCTGACCAATTTCCACTGCTGCAGCCTGACCGATTTCGGCTGTTACAGCCTGACAGATTTCGGCTGCTACAGCCTGACCGATTTCGACTGCTGCAGCCTGACCAATTTCCACTGCTGCAGCCTGACCGATTTCGGCTGTTACAGCCTGACAGATTTCGGCTGCTACCGCCTGACCAATTTCCACTGCTGCAGCCTGACCGATTTCGGCTGTTACAGCCTGACCGATTTCGACTGCTGCAGCCTGAACAATTTCGACTGCTGCAGCCTGACCAATTTCCACTGCTGCAGCCTGACCGATTTCGGCTGTTACAGCCTGACCAATTTCCACTGCTGCAGCCTGACCGATTTCGGCTGTTACAGCCTGACCGATTTCGACTGCTGCAGCCTGAACAATTTCGACTGCTGCAGCCTGACCAATTTCCACTGCTGCAGCCTGACCGATTTCGGCTGTTACAGCCTGACCAATTTCCACTGCTGCAGCCTGACCGATTTCGGCTGTTACAGCCTGACCGATTTCGACTGCTGCAGCCTGGCGGATTTCGGCTGCTACAGCCTGACGGATTTCGACTGCTAACATTCTCATATATTTATGTGTCTGAAATTTATCAGATTTGTAACTAGTGATGTTATTTTTATCCATTAACAGCAGTAAGGCATGAACATCCGATCTTGAACTGGATCTCTAGCATTTAATTGAATTGTTATTTCCCTGGTCGAGGTGCTCGATTTATTTTTGAACTTTCTCGATCAAAAAACGGCATGTCTCGACTTTCTCGAGAAAATTTTTGTATCTTTTGACTTTCTCAGCCAAATTTTGGTAAGTTTTAACTTTCTGAACACAGCAAAAACGTTTTCGACTTTGTTCGACCCAGTAGAGATATGTTTCGATTTTCTCGACGAAAGTTTTTCAAAACTTTATTTCTTTGACCCAGCATAGATAGGTTTCGTCTTTCTCGATCAAAGCTCGATATGTTACGACTTTCTCGACTCTCTTGACCGACAATCTTTAAAAACTTGTTTTTTCGACACTAGATAGAAACGAACAAAAAACTTTCCAAAACTTATTTGATCCATGTCAGATCCATTATGATCGATTAAAATCTATTTCTGATTTCAATACTACCGATTTTTTTTTCTAGATTTTTGTTCTACTTACTTCAGTTCTCTTCAAGTTCTTATAAAAATTTTTTGTTGAAAATTTGCTTGTTCAATCCCGCATAGATATGTTTCAATTTTCTCGACCAATAATGGGTATGCTTTGGCTGTCTCGACTTTCACGACGAACAAAAGATTTTTATTATTATTTTGATTCGTCAAAGATTTGCTACAAAAATATCCAATGTTTTTTTGGTCTCTTCTAGACAACCATATAAGCTTCATTATCGGTATATACAAAAACCGTCAGTTTTTTGTTTTTTTTTAACAGAAACCGTGTTCAGTGTCTATAAAAAATTTTTGCTGTTTATTTTTGATGTTTCGTCGAAACAGTCAACTCGTGGAAATAGTAGCAATTTTTTTCGAAAAAAAAAACGATTTATGTTTTTAGCTGCAAGTTAAGTGCTAACGCTTCTAATATGACTACTTACTAAATTAAATTGACGGCTGTCATTTTTTCGATGACTGAGTGTTTCATTTGGCTGTTTTTTAGCATTCTGTTTTTGTGGTGACGATTTTGTCGTTGCACTATAAAACTTGCTGGATCGACCTTGTTTCGGCTGACTCGACTTTATATTTAGACTTTGAGTTCGAATGGGCAGTAATTTTGTTTTCGACTTTGTGTGTCGACTGTGCTAGACCTAGGTTTCGACTGTGGTCGACCTATGTTTTGTCTGTGCTTGACCTATGTTTCGACTGTGATCGACCTATGTTTTTTATTGTGCTCGACCTATGTTTCGGCTCTTCTCGACCTATGTTTCTACTGTGCTCGACCTATGTTTTGACTGTGCTCGACCTATGTTTCGACTGTGCTTGACCTATGTCTCGACTGTGCTCGACCTATGTTTCGACATTTTTGACTGAAATTGGGTTTGTTTCAACTTTCTTGACCTCTGTTTCGACATTCTCAACCTATGTTTCCACTTTCTCGACCAAAATCGGGTTTGTTTTGAATTTTTGCTCGACTTAAAATTGCTTCTCGACCGCGGAACGTCAGAGGCAACTCTGCACTTGGTCGACTTTCAAAGTCGACATATCAGTCGAGCACCTCGACACGGGTTGAAGCAAAAAGATATGTTGCAGGTTACGGAAGAAAAAAACCTTAATTATATTCAATGAATTCTAATAGCTATTCAATGAATTCTAATGGTGTCGAATAAGATGCGAATTAAGTTCATTCAAAAAATAAAAGATGTGCCAGGATCCACAATTGTTTTTTACTCGCGCAGAATCAAGCAACACAAGAAAATTCATAGAGGGTCGATTGATCATGAAAGCCTCCTTTTGCTGGTTAGACCAATTTAGAACATGTAACACAAGAAAATCAAAAGGAAACCTCTAAATACACCAACAGAAGCTTAAATTGATTGACATTCTAGTTATATGAAAATAAATAGCTATTGAACCTTCAGTTAGCTCCTCTCTCGCAACGATCTTTTTCAAAACTCAGAATTTTGGAAACAACACTATGAGGCCAATCTTGTAGGTTGTTTTCAGCTGTGGAGGTTGGGGGTGGAAACAAAATTCAAAAAAAAATTGCAGTTATTTTTAAAGAAAATTAACCATTTCCAAACAAATCCAGTTACTCAAGCCCGGTTCCTTCCAAGGCTAACCCTACCAAGCTGAATTTTTATTTTTTTTTTGCAGAAAAACCACTCGTTTACGTAGTTTCTAGCAGAAATGTTGCTGTTAGGACGTTGTAATCGTTTTTTATCGTTTCTAACGACACGTGAAAAAACTTTAAAACCAAATCGAAGTTTCGTAAAAACAGAAGTTTCATCGATGTAACATAAATGTAAAATGAAGTTAAGTTCAAACATGGATGTGACATAGATTTGGAAAGAAACAACCAGAAATCAGTTCACTGCTAAACCGCAACGAGATAAACATGACTCGAGTGCCAGATAGTCGCAGCAATGCAATGCAAATTATCACTTGATGTAACAAGTGTTGCTTTGCATAAATCTGCTAAAGTTATTTGAATGCAACCGATCATGTCGCATAGGAGTTAGCACAACTGTCTTTTAATTGCAAGTCGGGGGTTTGAGCCGTTCCAGCATATTTTTTGAGCTAGAAGTAATCTAGACTTAACTAATTTTCGATAAGAAATAAGATGGGAATAAAAAGTTTTTCAAAAGTCTTTGCTTTGTTTAAACAATTCAAAACAAAATTCTGGCCAGATATTTAGATTAGAAGTTGAATATTTCTCGCCAGAAATCAAAAGTTTGTTCGGTACGCGACTGTATGTCCGTTTTTGTGACAGCAAAGTGTTATTTTAATGGGGTTCCAGATGAAATTTATATTCAAAAAAATGATGTTGGTTGGCCATTGGTTTAGGAAAATAAGGAAAACAATGATCAGGAAGTAGCTGAATTATTTGAAACAGGTTTCCAAAAACTGTGATATTGCTGAAGTTAAAATTTTCTCAATTATAAAAGTTAAAATTTTAGATTAAAACTTACATTAAAACATTTATGTTAAAAGTTAAAGCAAAAATTGTCCAGCAGGCTCTGAATAACGCAACAAGCGCAACTGAAGCCAATTTTTTTTACAAAGTACTTTTCGCAGAACTTAGAGAAGCAGCAACTCGCAAACTTTGTAGAATAAATTGAAACCAACTTTTAATACCAGCTGACTTCTATTGCGTGTTGTCTTTTTGCGAGTTTTCGTATTACGAGTAAAGCACTACAGTCTGTTGGGAATATTTTATGGATTGTTTTTCTTTAAATTGTCAACATGTTCTAAGACTTATTATCTCACTGGGTACTACGAGTTCTAGGAACATCAACGGGAAAAAAGTTTTACAGCATTT